AATTATAAATATATAAAAATATTTATAAACATAATATATTTATTTATAATATTATATTTATTACAAGGATAATAGATTAGAAAAGCTTATGGCAATAATTAATGACAATTTGTATATTTAAAATTGTGACAAACATGATATATGTGTATACTGTACAAATCTTTCTTGCCTGACTTTTTCTCTTCAACTTTTAAAAGTTATATTTTATAGTCATTATCAGTTCTTTTGCCCAAATTACAACTGTTTATTTAAAATCAATTATTAAAAAAAAAAAAACAATTTGAATCCGTGTAACAGATATAGATTATCCATTAAAAAAAAATTTTTTTTTAATTATTATTATTTGCTTTCACTTCATTTATTTAAAATTAAAAAAAATAAAAAAATGGTATATATATATGTGTACAGTATATAATGATATTGATAATATACTTTCATAATTTAACAATGAATCGAATTTTTTTTTATTTAAATGTAATAATTATGAAAAATTAAATTAATTGGAATGAAAAGGCAGATGACAACGATGCAAATGTTGAACAAAAAAAGAAAAGAATCTTTAAAAAATTTTCATATCGTGGCGTTGATTTGGATCAATTGTTGGATCTGTCTTCTGAACAAGTAAATCTCACTCAATATTTATAACTAAAGATTTTAATTCAGTTACATTAAAAAAATATATATATATAAATCTTTTTTTTTTTACAAGTTAATGGACTTGGTTCACGCAAGAGCAAGAAGAAGATTTCAACGTGGTTTAAAACGCAAACCAATGGGATTAATAAAGAAATTACGTAAAGCAAAAAAAGAGGCACCACCAGATGATAAACCTAATGTTGTAAAAACTCATTTACGTGATATGATTATTGTGCCTGAAATGATTGGATCTATCATTGGTGTTTATAACGGGAAAACGTTCAATCAAGTTGAAATTAAGGTAATGAGAGTGGATGGGTAACTTGGAAGAAGAGAAAGAAGAGGACAATGGGCAGTTATTATGTTTGATGAATTTCTTATTAACTATATTTTGTATCATATGAATATTTAGCCGGAAATGATTGGGCATTATCTTGGTGAATTTTCAGTCACTTATAAACCTGTTAAACATGGTCGTCCTGGTAAGTGTTTACAGAGTATGATTGAATTTGTCATTTTCATAATCAATAATATTGACAATTTTTTTCTAGGTATTGGCGCAACCCATTCTTCAAGATTTATTCCTTTAAAATAAAATTTAAAATATATTTTTTTCAAAATTTTTTATTGTTTTTTTTTTAAAAAAAATATATTACCTAAGTATGTAATTATTTATTATATAGGTAAATTGATATTAATAATAAAAATGATATAAAGCCAATCAATGATATATAATTTATTATTATTATTCTATGCAGCAACAATAATGTTATCTAATAATAATTTATTATTATGTCAACAATTCACCAGATGCAATCTCGTATATTATTTTTTCCTGAAATATGGCAATAATGATTGATTAAACAATAAAGGTGCTTGCCTACTAATGTGTTCAATGAAGCTAATGTAAAAACACCACAATCATAAGAATTTTTTTGTTGTGGAACTTTCTAATTATATATATTAGTAATGAAATAGTGATTTATTAGTGACTAATGGAATAAATTTTCGAATAAATAAAATATACAATGTTACATACCTTCAATCTTGGATTTTCTGCCCAACTGTTGAAATCAAGATTTGCATTTTCACCTTTCTTATTTGACATTCATTATTTAAATATTCTTTTACTTCCTTAAAATATATAGGGAATATATATATGTCAGTCGAAGTATATAAAGATTAATTAAAAAAAAACAAAATAATGTAAGCATTCTTTTTTATGTGTACATTGATTACGTCCATGCCTTTTGCTGTCCCCCACCATACATCGAATCAATATAATCTATCCTAAAAGCTTGAAAATCAACAAGACATAAAGACCAATGTGCTCCGTTATGTATTGGTACAAATAATAAATCTTTTGAAAAGATATCGACCTAATAAAAAAAAATATTTATTTAGATTTTTGGTTCATCCAGATGTGTTTACGATCAATCAAAACATTTTGTAAAACATCTACTAATATATTTAGACAAAGTTCATCGGCTGCACCCAAGACATTAACAATCTCAACTTCATTCAGTTTTTCGATATTAATTTTTGCTGAATAAATATATCTATTTTATAACTTTTATTTAGATCAATAAAAAGGTAATTGTGAAGGCAATGAACAATGTTACAGAATAATAAATATCATACCTTAATACAATGTCAAATGTTAGAGGCGAAATGTTTGGTTTCTTAAATATATACATTCCGTTTTCTTGTTTTGCCCACCTGCTCGATAAGGCATTACGAAAATAGGGTGATCTCATTTTCAAAATATAATAATGAGCTTTAAACTTCTTAATATAAGGCTCTTCTCCTGCCTCAATAATAACATTATGTTCATCATCATTTTCTAATAAATTATTTAAATCTTTTGTTAACTCATCATGAAGTTGTTTGTTTACTTCTGATAGTGCCATTTTTTCGAAATTTACCGAGAAATTAACAGTTAATAACTTGCAACCTTATATAATAAATAATATTAATATTAATAGATAGGACCCTCCCTACAAACTAACTATATAGATAGGTCACTGCCGCAGCTGGGTCAAATCTTGTAAAATTTTACTATTAGGAAAATGGCAATGTTGGTGAAAATTACCAAATTTAGAAAGATTGTCTACAATAAGCCAATCGCAGTGTGGGTCAAACCAAGACAGGAAAACTCTAATGTGTGTCACCACCAAATCAAACAGTCAAACATATAAACTCGAATTGTGATTGTGTGAATCAATTTGATGGTAACATTCAACAATTTATTAATGATGCAATCAGACATACAAGCAGATAAACAGATTATTAAAATTCAAATTGGAATATGAGCATGCTCCCAGAAAATAAACTACATCTTGTAGTGTAATATGAATTGTAATGTCACCTGCAATTAAATTGACATGACACTTTCATTTATTTTTTATCCCAATTGTTTTTACACAAGCCTTTGTAATAAATAATCAAAATAATACCTTCAAACTTTCTCTTTCATGAAAAATCTATTATAATCTGTTAATTTGAAAAAGTATACTTTTATTCAAATTGATGAGTTTTTGTACAAAGAGTTTGTTTTTTGTCTAAATATTTGTTAAACCTTTTTTTTTAATCTTTATAGTGAACAAAATGTCAAGACCATTAGCTAGCACATTACCTTGCTTATTTGCTGAATCTGCTGAAAGAGTCATCAGTTGAATCAATCTTGGAGACAAGTATCAGGGAAGGCAGTAATAGAATTTGCACAACTTTTTACTAAGTAGATATTAATTGTCCACAAAAGTTTACATTCTTATTAAATAATAATATTTCTTATTGAAAAAAAAACTATTTAAATTATATTAACTATTAACAATCAATAAAGAAATTTCAGGAAAATACTTAGCTAAGATGCCTATTCTTTTTAAAATACAGCATTTACTGATGCATACAAAAGTATTCTCACCTTTCTTCATTTCTTGCTTACATTGCACTAATTTACTTTCTAAATATTTCTTATCTAATTTTTAAACCATTCTCTTGTAAGTATATTTATTTAATATATTTTATTGCCTATATTTAATTATACTATAATATTTATATGGGACATGCTTGCAACAAAACCAGGCAAGGTGAACATTAGTGTTACAAAAATTTCAGGGATCAAAATTTAGTAATGTGATTATTAAAATCCTCCATTTCAGCTGGCAAAAATACAATTGATTGAGTTATTCTATTGTTACTTCTTCCTGGACTTGGTAATCCATGAACTCCTGCATAATTTTCTAGAAAATTCTTTACTATTTCTGCAACATTTTATCAATCACCATCTTAGTTTTCCATTGAGGTATCCTTTTAATATTAATGTGAATTCTTGGTAAAAGACCATTGTTTATTAATTGATTTCTAATGTTTTCAAAATAAGTTCTACCAATTCCTAACATATTGAGATAAGTTTCTTGACAAAGAAGTGTATTGTGATCTCAATGATAGAAAGTTCTTTTGTTAGATCTATTTGTCTTTTTAAGGCGTCTACTAGTGCTTGTTGATCCACCATCCATTGCTTTAAGTTGGGCCATTAAAAATATGTCTTGTTCTACTTTAGAAAGGGCTTGAAAAGATTCTCTTAATTCTGCAAAATTTTCCTTGGGGATTCTTGAAGAACAACCACATTTACATCCTTTTTCTAAAAAATCAATTGCTTTTTGATATTCATTAGAACCATTATATTTGTTATTACTTTTCATATACACTTATCCCTATATATATAATTTTATAATGTTATGTTACTTTGTGATTTTTTTAAGAATTATTCTCTTTGAATAGTATTATATAGAAATAATAACTAATGACATTAAAGCCTTTTTATTAAATTCAATCAGATAATTTTATGTAAGTTGTGAGAAGTCAAAAAACTAGCAAAATGATACATCAAATTTGTGATCAAAAATTCTATAATAAAGTAATTCAATCAACATATAATTAGAATGCTGGAATCCAGGGCTTTTAAATGAATAAAAAATTTAAAAACATTTTTGAGTTACTGTATTTAATTAAGTTAATCAAGTTTCAGGTAATAATAATACAAACTTTAGTTTTATATCTAAAAATATTAAAAAATTTGAATGATGATAATTTGGTGGATGCAAACCTATTATGATTTTTTTTCTTTTTTTGTGACAATACAAAGTTTTCTTTTAATATTCCACAATGCTATATCTAAAAATAATATTAATCTTGATAAAGACATGCCTTTCGAAACTGAAAAATTTATTACATGTCAAAGATTTGAAGATTAATAAAGAATTATAAAATTAAAGAAAACTAATTTATTTATTTGAATAGATTCTAAAAAATCAATTTATAATTGGTATCTGGTGTCATCCACAAATCCTGGAAATGGTTTCTTATTTGTGATCTCCATTATCAAGTTCATGTAGTAAGTCCTTTAATTGGTCAAGCATATGATAATCATATTCTTTTTTAAGTAAACCATTGGGTTTAACATCATTATGCCATGGTTGTTCCCAATTTATTGATGCTGGGTATCTATCCACTCTATCTCTTCCACACCAATCAAAAACTACAAGAGTTACTTTATGCTTACCATCTAAAACTCTAATTAAGATGTTTGGAGGTCTAAGGTCTGCAAATACAATATTGTTACAATGCAACTCATCAATAGCAATTTTTATATCCTTATAGATGTTTATTAAAGTTTCTTGGGTGCAATGAGTATCTGTTATAAGATTGTCTAGTTGAATACCATCAATGTACTTCATAATAATCATATAAAATCCATTATATATATTTTCACTAACAAAGATCAGTCCTGGAGCAAGATCTTTATGATAACAGATCTTGTGTGCTTCACTGTTATATCTTTTTGCAAATTTTACAACTATCTCAGTGTTATCATCCAATCGTGCTTTCCAAATTGGTTTTGCATAATTCTTAGTTAGTGGACCATCATAGGTAAAATGGAATTTCTTATCTTCTATTATAAATTCCCGAATATAAGGGAAAAATTTGTCTTGTAAAAAATAATCATTTGGAATCTCATTCAATGATATCTCAGATAGAGTTGTGTCCGAATTTGAATAGAATTGATGAAGGTGATCAAAAGCATTAGTTAATGCTACAAACAATCGAATAATCTGACAAAACTTATCATCATCATCTACTGGATCTGCTAGAAAGATCATATCTGTCAATGGTTCAACTACTACTTTGTCTATAAAAACAGCACCAAGGATACAGATCCAGGGGCCAGCAATACTAACAATGATGGATGGACAACAACAATATTCTTTATTTCGTTTCTTATAAAATTATAAAATTTGAGTATATAAAATAATTAATATATTAATAACATATGGTACAAAAATATAATATATCATCAAAAATCTGATAAATAAATACATACAGCATAGTACCAATACTTTTCATATGATAAAGATCCTTTGGATTGTGGGGTCACACCCACCAGAACCAACTTCATTTTTAATTTCAAAAATGGCTTTATAAGCTAGTTGGTTTTTGACTGAAATTGTTAGTACACCATCACTTGCACTATTATCAGGATTCTGTTCTTTATGTACAACACCCCAAAGTTCTTGAAACTTTTCCATCATGATTCCTTGGCGAGTTTTTTCATCCTTATATCCAGATGCTGCAATCCAAAGGAGTTCTTTAGTCCATTTGTAAAAATCATTAGGGATAGATACATCCTTGAAATCCTGTAAGAATAGTCCAAAGACTTCATTATAGAGAAATATTGAAGGACCAGTAGATTCAAATGGGCGACGGTTAAAGATCAAACGAGTTTCCTCATTAGCTTGGTGATAAAAGAAGTAACCAGGTTTTGCTGCACTTGAAGGGCCTTTCATATTATATATTTTGTCATTGGTCCTGTCATACTCCTCTATAAAAAAAAAGGTGAGAAAAATACAAACCATAACAAATAGCAAAGAAAACATTTGGTAGAAAATAAAAAACATCAAACCCGAGAATTTACTGCTCGAATAGAAGTAAAAGTTAATTAGTTTACTTTATTATTATGAAAGAATTGCTTTACACTATTTTAGAGTTAGAAGAATGACATAGCAGTAATTCCACTTGTGTTTTTTGCTTTGATTTAAAAAAAGCAGTTTGTCAGATAAGGACACGAAGCAAAGCAACTGGCGAAATGATTGAAAGTGATAAGGCTTGTGAAGGTTGCAAAGATAAATTTGAAAATGATGAGTTGCCTAAGTGTGATTGCGGAAGGTTAAAGACTAGATACACTTGTGATTGCAAAGAAGAGAAAAATGAAAAAGGACTTCCTCTTTTACCTCATCAAAATGGAGGAATGGCATTTTTTTACAAACAGCAAATAAATGGCTTGCAAGAAAAGGAAAGACAGTTAGAAGAGGAAGTAGATACACACTTAGAAGCCTTATAAGTGGCTGAAGATTGGCATAAAAGACAGAAACAGGAACTATTAGATCGAATTAAGCAACTAGAAGAAGAAAACAAACAACTAAAAGAATTAACTCCACAAGAATTATTAAAAGAAATCAATGATTTAAAAGCTCAATTAACCCAATTACAACAACAGAATGGTCAATTAACTGCACAAATTGAAATTAAAGAAACTAAGAAATGACCTTGATTGAAAATAAGAAAGTAATTTTAGGTATTTCCCTCTGTATAATTCCAACTATCAAAGAAAATGATAGTTATTTTCCTTTTAAAGATTTTTGCTTTTTGTTAGGTAATAATGCATCATCATGCTGCTTTCTTTTTCTAACATTTATTATTTTTCTTTCTTGGTAAATTTCATAGGTAATCCTTTCTTTTTTTAGATAAGCTTCCAGTGTCTGAGTATCATTTATTTTGAAAATGTAAGGAGCAATTTTTTCACCTTGTTCTTTCTTCAGAATACTTCTAATGGTACTATAATTCTTGGGTTTCATGGTAGATCTGATGTAAATGAGTTTCATATTATTTTTATATAGGGGTAATTCTATATATCACTCGAGAAACAGGAAAGGTAACAAAATGCGGCATTATAAAATTGTTAATTGCATTACATTTGTGATGACTAAATTTTGATCCCTGAAATTCTTGGTAATACCAATGTTCACTTTGTCTGGTTTTGTTGCAGTATGTCCCATATACAGTGCAGATCATCTATACTCAAAGTTAAAATTTTTGAAATATTATGTGATCCACACATTGGATTTTAAAAAACCCATCACCATTCAATTCAGGAGTCTATTAATCTAAAAAAAAAAATTTTCTTTTCATAGATTTTTTAAATTTGAAAATTATGCAACAATAATCTTCATGTTACAATATTTTGAATCTCACAATCAAATTTGGTTAATGATTTTCTTTTATGTAATATGTTTGTTAAACTTTTTTGTTGTAATTTATTAATAAAAAAAAGGAAATAAAATCAAATAAATCAAATGAAAATGTTCTATGCTAAGGCTCAGCCAATTTTCAGTTTAAGAAAAAACCAGCCAATAAGTTTTGAAGTTTGGGTCATGAACAATAAAACTTATTGGCTAAATTTTTTAAAATGATATAATTTTTTTTTGTTTTAGTATTTTGAAGTTGACCAATTGTTACTATATATAAGCAATTAATGATTATAGATGATCTGCACCGTAGTAATAATCACCAATTTAACCAATGAAAATCATAAATAATTTCGCTGTTTAAAAAAAAATTTTTTTTAATGAAATAACTTTATGGCTAACACTGGCATACTTACTTTGACAAAACTGATGTTGAATCTTGGGATCATATCAATTTCATAAATATTGGATTTGCATCAATAAAGGAAATCCTGAAGAATTAGAATATAGAAAAGCCTTTGACACGTTTGTAAAAAGCCTTTATGCAATTATTAACAATAGTTCAGATAAAAATAAAATAAGAAAAGCTACCAATCTTTTGGCTAATACCAAGGTATCTGTGTCAAATTTTTAATTTTTTTTTTTTTTTTTGTAAGTGCATGCTGTAGCAAGATAAGAGTCTTTATACAGACTTCATGTCCTACACAACAAGGTGGAGTACCTTTTAGCTACTTCACTGATGACCTTTTAGCTCATTGTGCTATTAGTTTTTGCTAATAGGTGAAGACTTTAATTGCCTTTTAGCCATCCATGACTAGGAAGAGCATTCTTTTAGCTGCTTTTCTGACATCCTTTTAGCATGTCATGGCTTGTTGCAGCACTAATCACAAAATATAAATCGAATTAATAGTATTTTTATTATGGTTAGAATCTACGTAAAAAAAATAGAGATATTGATAATTTATGGCTTGAAAGAGAATATGAAATACATGGTCTTCAGCTTCAAAATAAAAGAGCAGTTTTGGAAGTTCTTCAGGTAATTGTTCTTGATTATCCTTGGACTTTTTTATTTTGCTTTAACTTTTTTTTATTTCATATTTTGCAACAAAATGCAGGTGAATGGTATCATAGATACAGTTAAACAAAACCAACAATTTGCAAACATATTGAACAAAGGTGCAATTACAAATCTAGAATCAGTAATATCAACACCTACAACACCCTTGGATTCCTTATCATCCCAATCAGCTATGGCACAGGACATAAATGTAATGTAATTAATTATAGTTATGTAATTTAATATATTTTATACTCAATAGACTTACAAATGCATTTTACAATTTAAAGTGTGAACTGGTTGACAAAAATGTATCAATGAGCAAAAAAAAACTTGATAAAGAAGACCAATCACTTGAAGGTTATGATTTTATTTTCAATATGGAGAATGAAGATTTGTTGACTGAATGCATAGATGAAATAAATCTCCAAGAGGAATCCATTTTACCAAGTTTATAGCCAATGAGGTAATATTTGTTTATTGTTTGTTAATTTTGGGACCTTTTTTGGTTGCTTATCTTATATTTTAATAAAATGTATTTAAGTTCCAATTATACAATAAAGACTTGAATGATTGTTTTTTAAAACATCAGGAAAAAAATTCCAAAATCTAAGAGATTAATCATGTAAGTTTTGCTATAATTTTAAAATGATAATAATTAGATTACTTATATTTTACTTTATATTCTAGCCCTGCCTATTGGGGTATCTTAGATTTAACAAAAGAAAACATTATTAACTAAAGAATTTGGTGATGACTTAATTAAAGATATATTTCCAATATTATTTTATGGAATCCAAAACCTGCACCTATGACATTACAAGGTTACTTTGATGGAAATTGTGAAAAAATTCTTGAAAGAATATAAAAAACTTCATATTAATATCCAGTTCTTGTAAGTGTTAATTGACTCAACATGAGTCTATTTGCTATTTACACAATGTTCATTGACAAAATATTCTTTCAACTACTATTACATACATAGTAAATCTAATATGGACCATTTCAAAAGAGATTTAAGTGAAGAATTAAAGATGATGACTATGTTTCCTCTGTTCCGAGGAATTTTTCCTTCAGGAGTAATAGGTGACAAGTGGTAAGTCATCATACATGTTTTTGTGTAAAAAATTATGAGTGTTTACTCATCTTGTTATAGGGGTGAAATACAATCACTGGCTACCAATGAAGCCAGAAATGAATTGTATAATCCACTTAAAAAAGCTCAAATAGGGAGAAAGGCAGACATGAAGGGTACATTGGTTAATGCATCAGTAAAACTTGAAGCAATATATGGAGAAGTCTCAGGTGGATTAAGCTCATTTGGATTAACAGTTAGTAACATAAATGTTAGACCGTTATGTTTGTATGAAGATATTGCAAACAAATATCTAGAAAGCCAGCT